AGCCGCGTTGGCGCATGCGCCGCGGCGGCGGCAAGGGAGGCGCGGAGAGGGCTGCGCGCTCATTGGCCGGAGGGAGCGCTGGGCCCGCCCCCCCCGCGGCTCCCGGCCCCGCCCTCTCCGCGCTGGAGGCTCCGCCTCCTCGCAGAGCCCCGCCCCCTCCCGCGGGAGGCCCCGCCTCCCGCTCGGCTGGCACGGGGCGCGGGAGCCGGGAGGGGAGAGCGGAGTTCAATAGTAGAGGTGATTGAGAAACCGGGAACACCGGGATGCTCTGGGAAGGGCGCTGGGATGCACTGGGAATACCGGGATGCACTGGGAACATCGGGATGCACTGGGATGCAGCAGGAACCCTGGGGAAGGGCGCCGGGATGCACCCAGAGCGCTGGCGGTGGGAACTGGGATGAACTGGAATGCACCTGGGAGCACTGGGGTGGGTACCGAGATGCACTGGGATGCACTGGGAAGCACCCGGGAACACTGGGATGTGCCGGGGGGGGGACCCTGGGATGCACCGGGAAGCACTGGGCGGGGGGGGCACCGGGACACAGTGGTCGGAGCCAGGGAAAAACTTCCTGGAAAGTTTTAATCTAGAACCTGGAAAAGCTCCAGCGGCACCGGCCGGGGGGGGCAGGGACGAGACACCCCGGGGACCCCCCGCCCCGAGGTACATACAGCCCCTCCCCCCGCAAGGGGCCCCGGCGTCCGGGGGGGGGGTCAGCAGGTCAAAGGGGGCGTCCCCGCGGGGGGGGGAAGCCCCAAATACTCAACGTCCCGAGGGGCCCAGGCGTCCGGGCACCTAGACCCAGGTGCCCAACCCCCCTGGCGGGCCCCGCCCCCCCCCCGGAGCGGGGGCTGTTCCTGAGTGAGGGGGGGCCGGGCGCCCCCGGCCCCCTAAGGCTCCGGGAAGTCCCCAGGGGGACGCGGGACACCGGGAATGTCCCGGGGGGGGCCCCGGGACACCGGGAATGGGGGACACCCCGGCTGTCCCTGCCCTGTCCCCATCGTTCTCCTAAGGCTCCGGGACGTCGCCGGGTCCCCACGGGAGGTCCCCGGGGGCCTGGGGACATCSCCACGTCCCTGTAAGGCCCCGGGATGTCCCCCGGTTTGGGGACGTCCCCGTGGCCCCCTAAGGCTCCGTGATGTCCCCAGAGGGACCGGGGACGTCCCCATGTCCCCGTAAGGCTCCGCGCTGTCCCCAGAAGGGCTGGGGGACACCCTGGGGTCCCCCCAGTGCTCCAGGACGTCCTCAGAGGAGCCGGGGATGTCCCCACGTCCCCGACGGGACACCCGGGATGTCCCCACAAGGTCCTGGAGTTATCCCCGCAAAGTCCCGATTTGTCCCCGTAAGGCCCCCAATGTCCCCTCGGTGRCGTCCCCTGGGCGACGTCCTCTTGGTGACATCTCGTCAGCGGCGTCCCCGTGGAAAAGGGGTCGGGGAGGGCGCGGGAAGGGGCCGCGTCGCCCTGCAGTCCCGTCAACGTCCCCAACGACCTCGTTTGCTCCCACGGGGCCAAGTGACGGCTCCCGCTCAACCAAGTGCCCGGCTCTTGGTCAACGGTGGCCAAGGGACCAATTCTCGGTCAACCAGGGCCAACTGAGCAGTTGGTGGGACCAAGTGAGCGGCTCTTGTTCAACCATGGTCAAATGTCCAACTCTTGGTCAA